ATCCGCCTGGGCGACGAGGACGCGTGAAACCAAGCGTTCTTCGCCGAGAGACACTCCTCAACATAATCCTGCGCTTCTGACCTCGCCTGGGCAACCTGGAGGCGTGTAAACCAATGCGGTCACGCTACGAGACATCCTCAGACCGTGGCACGTGAAACACAGCATTTCACATTAAGAGATCATTCTAAATTCAGGTCCCCCCATAGAGGACTACTATCACACAAAACAAGCGTTTCGTTGGGACATCCTCAACAAATTCTGAAACATGATCAGATCCAACGACCTCGGAAGGGAAAATATAGAACCTGTCCACCACATGGCAACGGCTTTCAAAGGCCGAGAACGATACCGATTGTGGTGACGGGCAAATGCAATGCGGAATGTATCGATCTTGATGTACCGTGGCCGAGGCGCTGTGCTGCGTGACCCGCGCCGTCTGCCTCTGAAAAACCGATGCGTGCCATGGCGCGATTGTCTGCTCTATAGCGTCGTGGATCGAGTCTTCCTTTGCATCCGAGTCCTGACCGAACTGATCTGGATCTTAAGCTCGAGCTGCCTGAACACATAGTAGCTGCCCCAGAGCTAATTGACAGGGGTACATGCCAGGAGGACGCGCCGCGAAACGTCCCAAGGGAAGCGCCAGGCGACGTGCCAGGGGACGTGCCATGGGGTCGCACCGTAGGACGTGCCAAGGGGACGCGCTACGGAACGTGCCAAAGGATGTGCCACGGGATATGCCAGGGGACGCGCCACGCGACGTGCCAGGGGGACTCGCCAAGGGACGCCCCACGGAACGTGCCAAGCAAGCGTGACGTGAATCCTCGTTGAATCCTCGGAATTCCTGCAAGCGGGACGTGAAAACAAGCATTTCGCCCGAGACATCCTCTGAATTCTGGCACCCCACGAGACCCCCGCTCGAGACATCCCCCCAATTTTGCAAAACCAGCGTTTCGCTCGAGACATCCTCAACAAATTATGAAAAACAAGCGTTTCGCTCGAGACATCCTGTCAAACTCCAAAGAATTCCTGGCAAACCAGATTAGTCGAGACATCCTCAACAAATTATGAAAAACAAGCGTTTCGCTCGAGACATCCTGTCGAAAATCCGAAAGCGAGACATCCTCGCTAAGACAAATTCAGACATTAGTCGAGACATCCTCAATTAATTCGCTCGCGCGCGCGCTCGAGACATCCTGCAAGGCAAGCGCGAGACATCCTCAACAAATTATGAAAAACAAGCGTTTCGAGACATCCTGTCAAAATCCAAAGAAATCCTCGCTAAACAAACGAATTAGTCGAGACATCCTCAAAATTCCTGCGCGCGGGACGCGGCACGCGCGAGACATCCTCGGAATTCCTGCGAGCGGCACGTGAAAACAAGCATTTCGCTTGAGACATCCTCTGAATTCTGGCCACTCACGAGGCCCCCGCTCGAGACATCCCCCTCAATTTTGCAAAACCAGCGTTTCGCTAGAGACATCCTCAACAAATTTTGAAAAACAAGCGTTTCGCTCGAGACATTCTGTCAAATCCAAAAAGAAATCCCCTGGCAACCAGCTTCGTCCTTCGAGGACATCCTCAACAAATTATGAAAACAAGCATTTCGAGACATCCTGCCAAAATTCAAGGAAATCCTGGCAAAACAACAAATTAGTCGAGACATCCTCAAAATTCTTGCGCGCGGGACGCGGCACGCGCGAAACATCATCGGAATTCCTGCGCGCGGCATCGTGAAAACAAGCATTCGCTGAGAGAATTCTGGCCATCAAGAGGCCCCCGCCGAGACATCCCCTCATTTTGCACAAAGCCAGCATTCGCCGAGACATCCTCAACAAATGATGAAAAACAAGCGTTTCGCTCGAGACATCCTGTCAAAATCCAAAGAAATCCTCGCCAAACAAACAAATCTGTCGAGACATCCTCAACATTCCTGCGCGCGGGACGCGGCACGCGCGAGACATCTTCGGAATTCCTGCGCGCGGGGCGCTTTTCCGCGTCGCGGTCGGAGCTCCAGACCTCGTTATTTGTCGAGGATTTTGCGAAAAACGCTCCGCAGTCTTTTTTACGAAGGAAAACGGGGATCTGCGGACCCCGTTTTTTATCGAGGATCCGAGGTGGGGGGCGCACTTTCCTCGAGCGGGCACGCACGAAACGCACGTTTTCAAAACAAATCAGCTCTTTACCTCGTTATTTTCGCAGAATAATTCCGCCGGCCCTCAACAAGTCAAAACCGAGGGTAAACCAGCTAAAAGAGAACCCTGGGCCTACGCCCTTTCCGGAAAAAACAAGCGTTTCGCGAGGGACATCCTCAAATCTTAATTCGCCGGCCCTCTTCCCACTCGTTATTGATCGCAAAAGAAATCCGCCGGCCCTCTGCCCGTCAGACCCGGGGGTAAACAGCTAAAAGAGAACCCTGGGCCTACGCCCTTTCCGGGAAAATGCGGAACCTTCACCTCTGGAGGTTAGTGTTCCGTCTGTGTTTCTTATGTTTTCCAATGTTTCCCTTATGTGTCTCTCTGGTTTCCTCTGCTTTCCCTCTGTTTCTCTCTGTTCTCCCTTGTTTTCCTCTGTTCCCCTTTGTTTGCGTTTGTTTCCTTCTGTTTGAAGAGGTTCCGAAATACGAAACCCAAACCTCTGGAGGTTACCGCTTTTTTCCCCATGTTCCCCTGATGTTTCCCTCAGTTTTCCTCTGCATTCCCTCTGGTTCTTTATGTTTTCCTCTGTTTCCCTCTGTTTCCCCTTGTTTCCCTATGTTTGGGGAGGTTCCGAAACACGAAACCCTAATCTCGGGAGGCTACGGTTCCATCTATTTGTCATATGTTTTCCCATGTGTTCCTTATGTTTTCCCACGTGTTCCTTCTGTTTCCCTATGTTTTCCTTATGTTCCCATTTGGTTTCCCTTTGTTTCCCCATGCCTCCCTCTGTTTTCCCTTTGTTTCCCCTATGTTTCCACAATTGTTCCCTATGTTTCCCTCCTGTTTCCCTGTTGCTTCCCTTTTGTTTCCCTTTTATTTCCCTTTTGTTTCCAGTGCCTTCCTCTGTTTTGGGAGGTTCCGAAAAGGAAAACCCTAACCTCCGGGGAGTCAAGGTTCCAACCTTCAGATTCCAGTGTTCTTCTCACTTTCACAGAGGATGCTGTACCTCCCTGAGGGGAAGAGGAGGAACGAGGATTGGGCAGAGAGGAGGAAAAGGATGACGCCGACCTCTGGAGGAAGACGAGCGAGATAACTCCGATCACATCAGCTCAAGAATCCCATTTCCACCGAAGTGCGGGATAACTCCTGGACGCCAGTCAGTGACAAATGTAAGATTGTCCGCCCCGACTTGCCTGGCAAAAGCTCGGTAGCAATCATGTCCGAGCCCACGCCCATGGCCCGGATTGTAGCAAAATCTTGATCCGACTGCATTCCGAAACCCTTTCCATAAAGACCCGGGCATCATATGCAGAATGTCGTTCACACAATTTTCTTTGGGACCTTGATGACGTCCGAAACCATCTTCACATAAGCTGAACAAATTCAACTTATCAAACTCCGCAGCTGGCCACTCAGTAATGGGTGTCAACCACTCTGCGTCGTGCCGGAGAATGATAATCAAGTCGTACCACTTCGCGATATAGTCGGACCCGCCCACGGAATCCTTGAATAGCTCCAACGTCGCCCTCATGTTATCTGCCTGAGTTTTTGAGTCGAACTCCTTGGCAGCTGCCCCCCCCCCACTTGGCAAACTTGGGCATCAACAAATTTCGGAAATTTGGGCAGGCGCTCTTATCAACCCCATTTACTACAAAGAACTCGACCGTGTTGAAATTTTTCTCCAGAGGAGTCACGATATGCTTCAGTAGTGAATCCGTGCACTTGAGCTGGGCAGGAACGCTGTCATCGTGGCATCCACTTCGAGCGTCCACATGATTCATCCATTTTTGCCGAAAAGCTTGGCCTCGTAGAAGTATCGCAACGCGACCATGCTTTGGCAATGCACGATTCTTGCTGCCGAATGTGAGCGCATTCAAAACAATCACAAGATGACCAAGCACAAGAAAGTACAACATGTATCACGGAAGGCCGTCGAATTGCGCTGGCACGTAATGGTGGGGGGAAGACAGCAGCTATACTAAGCTGTAGCCTTGACCTATGGGCAATCGCGCCTGTACGAGCCTTGAGCTACACGGAAACACGCTTACGGAAGGAGAGAGACAGAAGCGGAAGTACGCCACGAAAACATCAAGGGCAGGTTCGCGTCGTGTCGACCCCAGCATTGGTCTCTGACACCGCTGGGATCGTTCCACCTGGGACGATCGGCCATTTACGAAACGTCAGATCCATCAACATCGACCGATTCTGGATCGCCGGCGGCGTTTCACGTTGAACGCCGGCGGCGGGGTCGTCGCAAGTCGACACGACGCGAACCTACCGTACACAGACACCCTCCCGCGGACTTTGCGCGTACCTAGACGGAGGACGGCAGCGTATCAATTCGCTGTCTCTACCAATGGTGCTGTACACGCTGCCGCCCTCGCCCGAGACCCAGGAACAGTCCATTGGAGGGCGTCTGCGCGTGAACGGTTGTGGCGGAAGGAGGGAGGAGCAGAAGCTGGAACAGCGGGGGCCGGTGTCAAGCAGACCTCAACAAGCTCCCCGAGTAGGTAGGGGGCGGTCTCAACGCCTCAACCCTGGAGCGTGGAGCGCCCCCACGGGCGCCGCCAGAGGCAGCGTGTTGAGACCGCCCTGGACTACTCAGGGGGCCTGCCGAGGCTAGCTGGGACTGCTCGGGGGACCTACTGAGGCCAGCCTGGACTAGCTTGGGGGGGCCCCCCCAGAGGCCCCCGAGAGCCTTCCCAAGAGAACCCAAGAAGCATCCCTGAGGACTCGGGCCCACGTCAGCGTCGACGTCGTCGTCGCCGCCGCCACCACCGCCGCCGTCGTCGTCAACGTCCCCCTTCAGGGTCGGCGGCACCGGCTTTAAGGCCTTCGCAATACTTTACTGCAGGGGTCTGGGTCCTCGCCCACCTCCACGCCCAGCTCGTGCGGGGGTGCGCCCAGCCGGCCAGCGTCCTGAGGGTCAACGTGAGCGGGGGACCGCCTCAGGGGGGGAGACATGGGCCTGGAGTCGGCGATGCATCGCCGACAGATCGCCGATGGGCCCCCGATAGTGAATCCGCAGGCTCCTGGGCGAGGCGGGCTATCGTATCGGGCCCCGTTCGGCGATGGATGAGCGATTGTCGGGGGGGGGGGGGGGGACAATGCCCCTTCAGCAAAGTGCCCTTTAGTGCTCTGCCAAGGGTACTCCATGTGCGCACGGCACCGCAATCCGAGTGGACTCCGGCGGGGTAGCTGATCGCCGTCCAACAACAACCGTATAGATCAAGCGAAACCAACGTCGATCATCAAAACCGACTGGGGACTGCACCAGCACACTCGAATGCCAATATCGCGTGAACCCGTGCAGATCTCCTAAGTCGACTCGTCTGAGTGGGCGCTGTCTCCACGCCCGAGATGGGGGTTCGATGCATCCCCCCTGAGCCTACTGCCCCCCTAGCGCTGCCCCTGGCGTCCCACACCCGCGCGCCGCGGCTGCTGCCGAGCTCGAGCACGCGCTCGCCGCTCAGCGACGCCCTGGCCCGGAAGCAGCTGTCCGACGGCTCCCCCTCGACCCGCAGCAGCTCGCGCAGCTCCGGCAACCCAGAGGCCCCTGGCGGCTGCGCCATCCCCTGACATCCCTCCGCTGTGCCAGAATGTGGCGGCACGCGCCAGGGGGTATGGGGGAGGTGGGGAGGCTTTTTGGAAGCAGGCCGCTTCTTAAAAGGCGCCGGCCCCACATCGACAGACAAGGCCCGCGCCTTCTGAAGAACCAGGGGTGCTTCTGAGAAGCCTTCCCCTCTCCCCCATACCCCTCTCTGCGCGTGGCCGAAAAACCACGACGGAGGATCATTGTACATTTTCGGCTGGTCTGGGGGCCCTCGCCGGGCCCCGAGACTGCCAACAAAACGGCTCGGGACGAAAAGCTGGTGGCATCCCGAGTGCTGCTGCAGAGCCCCTCGGCCAGAGCGTGAATTCGTGGATGTAACCACGATGGCACCAACTTTTTTCCGGCCACGGCTCTCCACAGCAGGCGTCCAGCTGCTTGTTCACAGGGCGTGAAGGTGCCCCGTGATGCTTCAGACAGCGCTCGTGCCGCCAGCGACTAGAGGCCTCCTGGATGGGGTCGGAGTAGATGGGGTCGGAGAATCGCGCCGCATCGACGATGCAGCGGCGATGCATCGGCGATGTATCGTCCATGCATCGGCCATGCACTGGCGACGTCGGCGATGCATCGGCGACGTCGGCGTGGAAAAAATTGTGCTCCACATCGAGCCGCATCGCCGATGCATCGCCGATGCATCGCCGATGCATCGCCGATGCATCGCCGATGCATCGCCGATGCATCCCCGATGCGGCGCGATCCTCCGATCCCATCTACTCCGACCCCATCAAGGAGGCCTAGAGCGATGCGATGAAAAGCTGGTCCCAGAGAAGAAGCCCAGGCCTCTGGGGAGCCACGCTGCGAGCAAAGACACGACGGAGGATGTCTGAGCCTATCGCCCTGCCGCAGGCTCGGCGCTGGCCCTTCTGGGCAGCGGCCCTTTCCGCTCGAGCCAGTGGCTACCGGCGCCCTACTTGCGCTCGGCCGGGCGACGAGGACGACGACGACGAGGACGAGGACGACGAAGACGACGAGGACGAGGACGAGGACGAGGACGAGGACGAGGACGAGGACGAGGACGACGATGACGAGGACGACGACGCGCGGCCCCCTCGGCAAGGATCGACCACCTGGCTCGCAAGGCGGCGCGCAGCCAGAGGAAAAACGAGGGGGGCGGCCGTCAGAGGTGGCAGGGAGCCGCTCGGGAGGGCCCCGGCCGTGAAGAAACTAGAGTCAACTCGTATGATATAGCAAGGACGCACGCCAAGGATGCAATGGCTCTGGAAGACCATGTCGACACTCTGCGAGCGGGGCACGGACAGCGAAAGCGGCCAAGGATGGGCCGAAGGGAAAGGATGCAAGGGCACCCTTGGAAAATCGTTCGTTCGTACTATATGCGAATTGACTGTGTGCTGGATCAGACAGCGCCGCATCGAGAGACTGGGTCAACCGGGAACGCGCGTCGGTTCGAGCTGCATCGGCACGGCACCGAACTCGAATCGGATCGGCTGAGCCGAAGAAACATCGGGCGACATCGAGCCGTCTGACTGTCGGAATCGGATCGGATCGGGCAGAGCAATCGCAGCTTTTCGATAGCGCATGTCGCTTGATATCGGCAGGTTCCAGAACACTGGCGGCGTTCAACCGTGAACGCTTTCGCTGGGGTCGCCGCCGCGGCGCGGCGACACGACACGAACCTGCCGTTCAAGGGGAAGCGCCAGATTGGCGGGTGGAGAGAAAACTCCCGACACGCCCTGTCCTCCCCCCCATTGGGGGCGGCTGAGAAGGACCCCCATGCCGAAAATCCAAGGAAGATAGCAGGAACGCGCTCCCACAATGAATGCTACAGCCATCGTGCTACCATACGTTGAACGGGGAACGAAGTAATCGTGGCCGCGGCGAGCCTCGGCCACAAATAAGTTCTCGGACTTACATCTAAAAAACGAAACGAAACATAGAGACCCTCCTGCGCCCCAAGTGGTCCTTACCTCAACCTATTGACTGCAGTCTGTGGATTGCACGCGCGTGGCTGCATGGACACAGAGAGACACGCGGTACAAATAGGAGGGCGCGTGCTAGAAGAGAGCGCGTTCTCTTTCCTTTCACGGAGGCGCGGACGCGTCCGTCACCGGCGCTCCGCGATACCTCAAGGGCCCTTATGAGCCGATTCGGCGGCGCACAACGGAGCGCCAACAAAGGCGCGCGAAGAGGAGAGGCCGACAAGGGGCTCTGCAACCGCAGCTCTTACCTTCCTCGCAGCGTAAACGCCGCCTCTCCTCAGAAGGTGAAACTGCTCTCTCAGTAAATACCGTAGCCAGTCCACGTACTACCCGAGCCTCAAGGACGCGCCGCTAGTACAGCTTCACGAACGCGTAGGACTCGCGAGCACCTCTAAGAGAGATCATTGAACGGCTTGTCTGACTCGAGGTCCGTGATGACAACGAGTTCATTCGACTTCGCTGCGTCCGTAGCCTGCCCCATCTGGCCCATGGAACTCTGTGGCTCGGTTCCACGGTGGTCGTATGTTTTGCCGGTGCGCTCCAAGAACCGATCTGCCGCGCTGAGCTCCTTGGTTCGCTGAGGTACCCGCCACTCGCCCTTGAGAACCAGCTTGACCTCGAACATCGGGAAGTCGGAGTCCTCGATCACTTCATCTGAGTACGCGTGCACAGACGGAGACGCTGTCGGGATGGCCTTTGCCGCAAGGCGCATGCTGACCGCGCGATGCCAGAGGTTGCACCATTGAAAAACACGTGCCTTCGCCTGTATCTTGTCCAAGATCTCACTCATCGTCGCAGCGTGGATCCAAAGCGCCTCGACGCGAACACGGCCTGCAGTCTGGCACCGCTGCATGTTGACACGCTGCTTGGGATAGCCTGCGCGACGGCGGCGATCCACCTGCAGCTCGAAGATGCAAGAGTACAGGTTCATCTCTGGGCTGACGTCCGACGACGCACGCACTGCGTCGCGAGCAGAAGAGGCACGGCGATACGCCCTCTCACAGAATATGCCGCAGACGTTCTCACAGCTCGATGGTCCTGGCTTCAGCTCAATCGACCCCCTTCTTGTCCCAGATAGATGCCAAAGCTGCCGAGTTGGCACCGTGATCGGCAGTCTCGATCCTCGATCTGGGCCTCCTTCTTGCTGAGCTCCTCGTCGCGCTGCATCTCCCGAGCGCATATCGGCGCCGCATCCATCATCCACCGCTGTCCAATTGGATGCGCCACCGGCCCCTGGACATGAGGACTGTCGGTAAGTCCCGACATGCGTGCACGAGCAAAGCGAGCATCACGATCCCAGATAGAGCTTCCGGAGCCAACGCGACCAGAACAGCTGCAGTGAAGGAGGGCGTCGAGTAGGTGGTCTCTCGTCACTTCGAACTTGCGGCTCGTCTTCCATGTGATAAAAGACCTTCATGTTTTTTCCCCACCATCCTGTGGTGTTGGGTCCTCGTTTTGAAGAGACGGTGCCCCGCGTCTCCTCTCCCCCCTTCCTCCTCCTGCTGCCCCCTCCCTCGTCACCGCGCCCAATTTCGGCACACCCCTCGCACGTTTCGTGGCCCCATAGGGAGCTCCACCGAAGGCCCCAGCGGCTGCGTTGGCACGGCGGCGCCGCACCCATTTCGGCACACCCCTCACACGCTTCGTGGCCCCATAGGGAGCTCCACCGAAGGCCCCAGTGGCTGCGTTGGCACGGCGGCGCCGCACCCATTTCGGGCACACCCTTCACACGTTTCGTGGCCCCATAGAAAGCTCCACCGAAGGCCCCAGTGGCTGCGGGCGCATGGCGGCGCCGCACCCATTTCGGCACACCCCTCACACGTTTCGTGGCCCCATAGGGAGCTCCACCGAAGGCACCATTGCTGCCGTCCGCATGCGTCCCGCACACCCATTTCGGCACACCCCTCACACGTTTCGTGGCCCCACAGGGAGCTCCACCGAAGGCCCCAGCGGCTGCGTTGGCATGGCGGCGCCGCACACATTCGGCAACACCCCTCACACGTTTGGGCCCCATAGGGAGCTCCACCGCAGGCCCCAGTGCGCGTTGGCATGGCGCGCCGCACCCATTTCGGCACACCCGCACACGTTCGTGGCACCATAGGGGGAGCTCCACCGAAGGCCCCAGTGGCTGCGTTGCCACGGGCGGCACCGCAACCATTGTCGGCACACCCCTCACACCTTCGTCGGCCCCATAGGGAGCTCCACACGAAGGCCCCAGGGCTTGACGTTGGCACGCGGCGCCGCACCCATTCGGCACACCCCTCGTTTCGTGCCCCATAAGGAGCTTCCACCGAACGGCCCCCAGTGGCTGCCTGGCATTCGGCGGCCCGCACACATTTCGGACCACCCTTTCGGCACACCCCTCACACGTTTCGTGGCCCCATAGGGAGCTCCACCGAAGGCCCCAGTGGCTGCGTTGGCATGGCGGCGCCGCACACATTTCGGCACACCCCTCACACGTTTCGTGGCCCCATAGGGAGCTCCACCGAAGGCCCCAGTGGCTGCGTTCGCATGGCGGCGCCGCACACCATTTCGGCACACCCCTCACACGTTTCGTGGCCCCATAGGGAGCTCCACCGAAGGCCCCAGTGGCTGCGTTCGCATGCCTCCCCACCACCCATTTCGGCACACCCCTCACACGTTTCGTGGCCCCATAAGGGAGCTCCACCGACGGCCCCAGTGGCTGCGTCCGCATGGCGGCGCCGCGCCCATTTCGGCACACCCCTCACACGTTTCGTGGCCCCATAGGGAGTTCCACCGAAGGCCCCAGTGGCTGCGTTGGCATGGTGGAGCTCCACCGCCCCAGTGGCTGCGTTGGCACGGCCGCGCGCATTTCGGCACACCCCTCATACGCTTCGTGGCCCCATAGGGAGCTCCACCGAAGGCCCCAGTGGCTGCGTTGGCATGGCGGCGCCGCACCCATTTCGGCACACCCCTCGCACGCTTCGTGGCCCCATAGGGAGCTCCACCGAAGGCCACAGCGGCTGCGTTGGCATGGCGGCGCCGCACACATTTCGGCACACCCCTCACACGTCACGTTGCCCCATAGGGAGCTCCACCGAAGGCCACCGTGGCTGCGTTGGCATGGCGGCGCCGCACCCATTTCGGCACACCCCTCACACGCTTCGTGGCCCCATAGGGAGCTCCACCGAAGGCCCCAGTGACTGCGTTGGCATGGCGGCGCCGCACCCATTTCGGCACACCTCTTACACGCTTCGCGGCCCCATAGGGAGCCCCACCGAAGCTCCCAGTGGCTGCGTTGGCATGGCGGCGCCGCACCCATTTCGGCACACCCCTCACACGTTTCGTGGCCCCATAGGGAGCTCCACCGAAGGCCCCAGCGGCTGCGTTGGCATGGCGGTGCCGCGCCCATTTCAGCACGCGCCTCACACGTTTCGTCGCCCCAAAGGGAGCTCCACCGAAGGCCCCAGTGGCTGCGTTCGCATGCGCCCACCGCACCAATTTCGGCACACCCCTCACACGCTTCGTGGCCCCATAAGGAGCTCCACGTCCACGACTCGCGCGCGTCGCTGGGACCCTCTCGGGGCGATCAGCGCGCGTCGCGCAAACTCCGCGCTGCGCTCTGCCCAGCGCCTCGCCCGCCCTTCGCCGCTTTTCCAGCGGCCAGAGCCAGGCGCGCTATCAGTTAGCCAGACAGCACTGACTGCCCTGCACAGCGGACGAACCGCGCGCGTCACTGTGACCCCTTCGGGGCGACCTGCGCGCGTCGCGAGGGCACCGCGTCGCGCTGCGCCCGCAGCCTTGGACTTTGGAGCGCGCGGGCAAAGAGGAAGGAACATGAGGAGATGAAGCGGGCGCGATCCTCGGCGGGGCGCGCCGACATGGGCGTCGCGGCGCGCGGGCGCTGCCGTCGGGGTTCCCAGGGAAGCTCCCTGCGGAGGCTACATTCAGTGTCGCGAGTTCACACTCGGAGACATTTACACTAGGCGTA